GTTTTCATAACATTTTGGGCATGGAATCCACGCTGAATCCACCCTTCTGATGGGATCAGTTTAATCCAGATTTTCTGGATCAAAGTGATCCAAATCCTACAAAAAAGTTCTGAAAAACCCTAAATGAAGGTTTGATCCGGATCAAAACCAAGATTGGATTACATGATCTAATTCGATTATGTAATCCGTTTCTTCATTTGAAAAACCCATTTTCAAGATTTGATCCAATCCGTTATCCAAAATCCTAGTGGATTACTTTTGAAAAACCGGGCCCAGATGCATCTGAAAATAAAGGTAATATGTGCACATTGATATTTGGTGTGTGACTGAAATTCTTTCCACTATCTGGACTTGAGAAGAAGTCTGGGACTTCACAAGAGTCTATAAAGCGTCTTCATGTTTGCAGTTCTGCATTCGGTTTTATAAATATACAGCAGCTTGTTGTGTTATTCAACCGTTGTATTTATTTTTTTTTACTTTTTATTTTGAGTTTTTGACATTACAAATAGAACAGTCCCTGAGACAAGGTCAATGCGATGGTATGTAACATGAAGCAAATATGAATGTACATTTAAAAGGGGGGCAAAAAGTATAGTAATAAAAATAAAACGTGACAGTGGATTCTGACAGGACCATTTTCTATTGGTTCAACAACCCCTAAAAATATTATTGTGCACCAAGATATATTTTCACAGGTTGCCATCTCCGATTAAAGAGGTCCATTTTCAGTTGTAAAGACACAGTCATCTTTTCCATAACAAACACTTGTTTTAGACTTTGTTCCCATTCACATATAGTTGGTGAGTTCACATTCTTGGTGGGCCATGACTTGATAAGTGGGTTGGAAAGTGGGCCCCAGGGTGACACCAGTTGAGAACCACTGCTGTAGAGAACATTTGCACAGCAGCCTCCTGGGCTTCCCCATGTCCTTTCACTCGCTTCTACCTTTGGAACGCATCAGAATTTTCACTGGCTCACTCGGTGCAAAGCATTTTGCGCGATCGGGAGGCTCCCCCTACACAGAGCGCGAGCGCACACCTGCCATCGGGTGCTGATGCTGCATGTATGTTACTTGCATGAGCAGCTGTCTGTGACTTTCACTTGACTATTCTGTCAGCAAAGGCTATTGATGTGTATGTGTGTGTATATATCCTGACATACACTTTCCCTGTGCACTCTCCATGGTACTCCTGTTCCCCGCTGTCGGTCCTACCCTGCCTGAACGTGGCTGGCTACCGACATCATTCTTTTTTTGTTCTTCTTTCAAAAGAAAAAGAAGAACAAAGCGAACGAGCATCTGACTGTTACTATGCATAGCTAATGTCTGTTTGCTCTCACAATTCAAACTGTTATGCTCACTGTGCGCTCTTCCCTGCACTTACCCTCCTCTGATAAATATAATGGCCATTCTGCCTTCTCAGAGTGGCAGTCAGGAGCTGTATGGGGCATGATTGTACCTGCTTCTCAAACATGGCCAGTTGCAGGAGAGGGGATGTTGTACTTGGGCTGCTCTTGCAGGATATATAGACAAGCTGTGATGTTTATAATGTTCTTGGGTGGAGGCTAGCCAGGGGGGCATTGACTACATTCAGCTGCACTTTTATCCCAATAGCGGCAGATCTTAGAGGGTGAAGCCTATACCAAATAGAACAATGGTTAGAGCAACCCCCCCAAAAAAATTCAGTGCTGCAAGATGTGTTCAGAACCTTTACTCATAAGTAAAAGTGCCAATACTACACTGTAAAAACACCATTTCAAGTAAAACCTCACTTGAAATGAAGTGCAGGCATATCACGGTGGCTTATAAATTGTATTTATGATATAATTTACAGTATATACTGATCCATTAATAGTTGGGTAGCATTTTACAGAAGCTATTGTTTTATATACAATTAGGTAGTCTAGTCCTTTAGTTCAATGGTTCATAACCTCCAGTATGCGTTGGGCCTTCTGCAGGGAGTCATGAGATGGTTAATGAGGTAGGGAAGAATAAAGAGGTTTTGAGCACAAATTTGCATTCATTTTTGAGCTTTTCTCTACCTTTTGCTTTTAGTTTAAATGATGGATCACTTTGGCCTAAAACAAAATCTCTGCAGAGGAAGTGCTAACAATACAGTGATCCCTCGCCATATCGC